CCGCATAAGTCAATTAATTTCACGATCTGTTATAAGCTTTCGAATGCAAAAAAGACTGGCCACATATGTGGCCATTTTTAAAAATACTTATTATTCTTCTGCTTGTTCCGTTTCTGAATAATGCACGAGCGGAACGTATAGTTTACAAAAAAAATATATTTCTAAACGACTTACATTCAATAGGGCCTTCTTTACATTACCTTCATGGTACACTTTGCTTATGCACCAAGCAGTGCGGTAAAACAAAATGCGACGAAAGCATTCTGTTAGTGTATTTTTTGCAAAAAAACTTCACAGGCTTGCTAGACTGAATCTTTTAGTATAAATAGTTGTTTGTTTATGAAAATACATGCGATTCCTTAAAATTGGTTTCACTTCCATCTGAGCAACTTTGGAAAAAATTCTCCAGTTCTGAAGGGATAACTTTTCCCCTTCTTTAATTATTCTGGAATTCCTCCATAGCACAACGCATATTAATAACAAGTTTGGTTCTGTCATACCTTATAGCATAGGGAAAGTTCTTCGATATAAACCTACTCATGATTTAGCCGAAATTAATGCCTATTTCTGCCCATACATTTAACTAAGAGGGCAGTATTCCAAACTAAAGCCTACCTAATTATTAAATCTATTCAGTTGATCAAAATAACTTCTCCAAATATATGCTGACCTACTAAGTTAAATTTCGCCAGGAAAGTTGCATGCAGGGCTTGCTATACTGTATGTGATCTGCGCAATGATTCTTGATCGCGCTCAGTGGAGAGTTTTTTCCGCCCTACAGAACACACCCAGGCTACAAGTATCGCCTCCCGGTCTGAGTTGATGCCAAGCACATGGACGAAAACTGGGATTGACGTTGGATTCGAAGTCACAGTAGGCAAAGCGTTTTGACTCATACAACTTAATCCACAGACGGTCAACCTCGATGGAGCTACGCTAAAAGAATGTGTGCAGGTTAAAGGTTATACAGATTGCTATGACGGTATGTTCAGTACCACCGGTTTTTTCGAAATGTTGATCCTCATTAAAAACTGTCACATCTTTTAAATGCTCTGTAATGTTAGCCAATGGCCGCAATTTTATGCTGACCTTTCAGTGATGTGGATTTTGTTATCGATAACAGAGCGCTGTACAGAGTGGTGGAGTTTGTCAAGTCAAGTTAATTAAGGGAAATATAAGCAAATGCCTTTGAGCTCCCTGTTGGTACACAGTAGTTAATAAATGCATCTGCACAGCCGCAAATTTCAAAGAAGGTCGTTTACATAATTGTAGGCGACTACTTACTTCTTCTAAGTAATACAATCACATGTAATTGTAGCTGTAATTGAGCACAAGGAGCAGGCTCAGAATTCAAAAGATGGAATGTCATTTGTGGTTTTTTAAAAGAAAACTGTCGCTTGTAGGAGGAAAGTATGTGGAAGATAGGACCGGCATGCTGCTGTGAATGTTGGCGGCAAGCTAGAGGGCCCATCTCGAGTAATATCTTTATGCGAAGGGCCACACATGAAGGAGACGGCGGAGTCACGAGAACCGAAGATGCGACCATGATGCGCCTTTGCTATGACAAAAACAGGGTAACCCGCCAGGGTCGTCCGCAGTCGGTTTTTAGGTTGATATGAGGAAGAAAGTGAGAAGGCCGCGTTGCTTAGGACCATAGTTGTAGAGGCGACTGCCGAAGCAATCGTTGCAGTTCGCGTAGTGGGAAGGGAGCACCGCGTAGTAACTGACAAAACACGGTGAAAAATACTTCGAGTAAATAGAAATACTACCTAAAAGTAGCTATTAGCATATTTGTTGCATTTAAATGTTCGGTTTCAGAGAACTCATCGTTATTCAACTGTGCTGGTCAAGATTTTTTCTTTAAAATCTCCACCAATGTGGACATGACAATTTTCGCAGGATGGCCACTCCATGCCTGAACTACTCTCTAAGGAAAGAATTTCCTCGGGTCAAGTCTTGCTCCTGTCGTACGTGTACTTGTAGGCTAATGGTGATGGTCATCTCTAAAATACCATTTTGTTCGAGGCAACAATCCTGACCCCGCAGCATGCGAAATGCCTGTATAAGGTTACCGCGTAGCTGTCTCTAATCCAGGGGGATCAAGTTAGGATTGTCCAAGCATGTCTCATAAGGGAGGTTTTGTTGGCCTCGTCCTTATCTGCCGCGCTTGATTAGATACAAGCTGGACATAGCGAATTTGGCCACCCTCAAGCAGCGGAGTGATGGCCTGAGTAAAGGCGTGATCCACACCCTCAGATCCTTCTGAGCCTCTACCTCTGGCAACGGCGTGCGATTTAGGCAATACACCCTCTGGTGTGCAGTACTAGTTCTGCCAAAGCGCATTAAGTTGCATTTTGCCACATTGAATGGCATGAGTCAGTAGTTTGACCATTGCTCAAGTCGACGCAAATTTGCCAGGAGATTTAATTCATCGTCTTCTTTGCGTATGGCTTTCCAAAGTTTTAAGTCATCAGCTTACTTCACGATTTCGCAGTCTAATCCGCTTATCCACTCATCAATACATAAAAGGAAGAGGATAGGGCCAAGAATGGAATCCTGGGGCACCCCACTCTCAACCGCAACCTCCGCCGACGGCTAATCAATAAGACATACGGTCTGAGACCGACCAGTCAATAAGTTTTCGATCCACTGCCATAGGTTGCCCTTTATCCCCATACGGCTGAGCTTCTATGAGAGACGGTGATGCGGCACAGTGTCGAACGCCCTATTTAAGTCTACGAAGACTTTGTGCACCGTAATCCCTTCATCGAGCGCACGGTCCGCTGTTCCAGACAGTAGAGCAGATTGTTCAAGCAGGACCTTCCTCTGCGCGATCCATGCTGCTTGTCAGAAAGAAGTCAATGTTGCTTTAAAAATTGAATTAGCTCGCCTTTGCCTGTTTGCTCCACGAGCTTGCAAGATATTGAAGTGGGGCTGACCGGTCTGTAGTTATTTGCGGACGCC